GACATCATAAAAATGCAAAATTCTATCAGCACATCAGGGACTCTGAAGAAAGATCACATGATAATTTCCTATATGTCAAAGACTAAATCAGTGTGGTTTCCAGATCCTTTTCTGTTCAATGCACTCACCCATGTTGCAAGAGATCTGAAATATTCTTTAAGTCTCATTTTCCTTCAGAAGCTAACCTCAGTGGAATAGAATGTTGTTAAGGGGGAAAAAAATCCTTTCTGTCATTTGACTTTAACTTATGATAAATTAGTTTCAACGAGTTTCTTAGAAAATTGCCCAACAAATGACTACAGAAAATTAAATACCAAGACTTCAAAGAGGTAAACACACAGCTTTCAAATCCCAACCTCTGAGAATAATTCTGCCTTTCTCATGCTTTGGAGAGATGCAAGTCAAAAAAAATAGCACTATATCTTGATAACGACCCATCTTTCAAATGACTTTTCAATCCATCTCCTTTTTCAGAGGAATAAAGTGATGATGATTTCTAGAGGGATTCTGGGGAATTAACATCCTATTTCAAGGCTGTGGAGAGTGAAAAAACAGTGGTGTGGCATTATCAATGCCACAGTGGTTAAGGAGATCCAAGAACTAGCCGAGAATTCGGTTCATACGACGGAGGGAGAAGGACCAGACCAGTGACTTCATTGGTATAGGGAACCCCAATCTTCCATCTGGCAGGGTAACGGCTTTTCTCCAGCTTATAATTGTAAGGACTTTTTTAGAGCAGAAGTGTCAAACATGCAGCCTGCAGGGCCCCAGAGGCCCACAACACTCCCAAGTAAGGCCAAGAGCAAACTAAAATGTAATTGGGAAATAATTAACAAAATAAATAAAAACACCTAGATAACATTAATATGTGGTTCTCTAAGTCAATATACACTTTCAGGGATCCTTATACATGGTTTAGTGGCCCCATTTCTACTTGTGTTTGACACAGGTATCAGCATTTGGCAAACTTGATTCAAAATCTTGTCTTCACATAAATAAATACTGATCTATGTAGAGACTAAGAAAGTATCATCGCCTTCAAGGAGAAAAATGTTATTTGATGATAGTAGTGATAGGCAGGCCACTTAATTTACCAATATAAATCAATCTCCCAGATACTTCTCTCTGGGGCTCAGATAGCTGCAGTCCACACAATTATTTTCACCTTGCAGTTTACCTTTAAAAAATCTAATGCTATTGACTTTGTTTAAAAAAACAAAAAACAAAAAATAGCAACAGCATAATACAAAAGTGTGGAATCAGTCTGTATTTGTCTTCAAGTTTCATCTTCTCGAAGTTTTTGTCTCTAGTTTGGCACTTGAGAGCATCAAGCACAGGAATGGGAAGCATCAGACCCTTTATAGATCTCCAAAACTAGTTAAATATATAAACTCTTTTTTAAAAAATGAACATTTTGGTGGAGATCCTCTCCCTGCATACATACCCTCTACCCTCCTTACCTACTTATGAAAATCAACTAAAATGCCATCTGTGACCAGCCAAAAGGTATAAAGGGAAAAATGCCATTCCTGACACTCAGGCGGAAGCATCCAAATAGCATAAATGGCAGATATCTCTTCATTCTTCATTTGTCCTGTAGCCCTTTTCAGTCTGACACACCTGGAACCTTATCCAGGCATTCATTGGAATATAACCCAGCCAGCTACCCAATACATTTCCCACTCTCATCCATATTAAACACACATATACTCATCTGTTCTTCCACCTACCTCTACCATGGTTGCCACTCTCAATCCTTCTGGTTAAAAGGGCACAAGGGAGTGCAAGGAACATTGATGTGTTATAACAGCCCAAGGATTTTCTTTTGACACACCAAAATGCCCCAACACAGTGACTGAAGACACATTACAGCATCTTCATTCTTCCAGGGTAAGAATCCATTGGATTATAAATTTAGAACTGGAAGTGACCCTGATGTTTATTGAGTCCAACCCTACCCATTTTACAGATAGGGAAACCAAGACCCAAGTCACATGCCCAGGGTCACATAGCCAGTTAGTGTCAGAGATGAGATTCAAACCCAGGTCTACTGACTCCAAATCCAGCACTCTATCCTAGCACTGTGCCATGCTGGAAGAATTGAGTATTGAAAATCAGTCTTCCACGCCAAATTCACTAAGCTAAGAGCCAGGGATAAAGATAGCCTAGAGATTTCCAAACCCAAGAGATTCACAGTCATTGAAGTGGACATTTTAAAAGGATGACAGATTTGCATGATCTTTAAGATCATAGATTGAGAGCTGGAAAAGATTTGAGACCATCTAGTCTGACTTCATTTTACAGTTGAGGAAACTGAGGCACAGGAGCAGAGGTGTCAAACATGCAGCCTGCAGGGCCCCAGAGGCCCACAACACTCCCAAGTAAGGCCAAGGTTCAGGAAGACCTGAGTTCAAATTTGACCTCTGTAAAATTGAGCTGGAGAAGGAAATGGCAAACCATTCCAGTGTCTCTGCCAAGAAAACTCCAAACACAAAAAGTTGGAGACAACTGAAATAACAACAACATCCTCTGACTTCAAAAGCAGTGCCCTCTCCAGTCTACAACTCCCTAGCTAAGCATCTCTCATCTACATACAGTTTGTTCTGAAAAAAGCATGCCCAGGGAAATCTGGCCTAGGGAGTGTAAGCAAGTCTCCTGACTTCAAAAATACTTTGTGTAATTTGGCTTTCAGAATTTTTTCCTTTGTGCCTTAGTGCATTTTGTCTTCATGACTACATGTTCTCAGGTTGTACTTTAAATATATAAACAGTCCTCTTTCTGATACCATATTGTTTTACTGTTTTCAACTAAAAGTCATATCTTCACACCTTGGGTGGAATGCAAAGTTATTTACCCTGCAATGACACTACATGTGTGGTACTAGAAACTAGCAAAGGAATGGATGGTTTGGCAGGCAATTTAGTAAACCTTCCTTTATGTATTTGACATTCCCCCTGCCCCACCCCCTACCCCACAAACTCATAAGAAGGAAAAACAACTGTGGTATCTTTCAGTTCAGTTTATTTTTGTACTCAGAATGAGGCACAAATGAATCAATTTTCCATTTACCCTCTCCCTACTTCCTGATAAACCAGAAATTTCCTGGTATCATGCAGTGCAGAAACAACACCTTGAGACTATCCAGGTTTCAACAGGGCTCTAAATGTCTAATCAGTCTGTGCATCAATGGTGTCCTACAATCTATGCAAATAGTACTCCAGTCTCCTTTCTATTCCCCCTTTGTCAGTTCTCTGTCTCTCTGTCTCTCTGTCTCTCTGTCTCTCTGTCTCTCTCTCTCTGTCTCTCTCTCTCTCTCTCTCTGTCTCTCTCTCTGTCTCTCTCTGTCTCTCTCTGTCTCTGTCTCTCTCTGTCTCTCTCTCTCTGTCTCTCTGTCTCTCTCTCTCTCTCTCTCTCTCTCTCCCACCCTGTGTTCTGGAGAGGAGGGAGAAGGAGTTAATGCTTAGAGAACTGCTTTCCTTACATATATACTCAAGTACAGTAGCTGTTCATGATGATGAGCAGAGTGTGGAGAACACTTACTTAAGAAAATGACTGTCTGAGTAAGGAGGGTGGCTGGCACAATTGGTGCAGGTGCCACATCATGCCCACAGGATGATGATCATCATCTGAACCAGTTCATGGCTCATGCTGCCCTTGACCTAGTAGATGAAAATAGTGGCTGTCTAACAATATGTACCTGAATGAGTGGTTTGTTTCTCCTTTTGTTATTGTAGGTACATGAGATTTATTATGCTTCATGATGTAAGACAAGAAGATGGAATAAAGAACTCCTTTAGTGATGTCTTTGATTTATATATAAAGTTTGCAATGAAACCATTTTATGAACCAAATTTACATTCTCAAGTGCATTTGACAGAAAAGTTCAATTTCTTGGCAAGAAACATCTTCTAAGCTGAATACAGAAAACTTCTTAAATTATGTGATGTCATAGTATACATTGTAAGTAAGAGCCAATTAAGTCTACTGTGTCTAGTCTTGGCTTTCTAAGTCTCTATAAATTAACCTGTTTTCTAGTTAGAAAGACAATAAATAGGGCACCTTTTGTTGTCACTGCTGCAGATGATCCAACCAAAATAACTTGTTCTTTTGAAAAACTGTATTTATGAAGAATGCTAGATGAAGTGCCCTGTCAATTTTTGCTTTTAAAAATTGTTTAGAAGATTCTACTTTGACTAGTCTAATATAATCTTGTTAATTAAACTGTAAATTAGGCAAATGTCATACTGTTGATTTGGTTAACAGATCTTAAACTGAAATATAAAAGTTGGTTCACAATAGGAAATAAAATTTACAGCATACACATGGATTTTTTTTTATAAATATAGGCAATATCCATAGCGCTAAAGAAAAGGTTTTTTTTTTCTCCTTTGTCAAATTTTATACAAAGTATTTACCTGAGAGCATCAAGTATCAAGTCTGGCAATAGTACCAAAAAGAAAACTTAGAGCATGTATGTAAGACTTTACCTATAAATTAAATGAAGAGGTTGCTGAAATCAAAAGTTAAATATGTAAACAGGACACCTTTGCATAATCTTTAATCATTCTTATGTATTTGGAATCTTGAGGATGTTTTCTTTCCTGAACAAGAATAACAAAAATGATAACTACATTTCCTCTTGATAAATTAGTTTCATGCTTTTATAAAAAGTATTTAAGTTATTTGCATATTTTAGTTTTCAAAAACAACCAGAATTAGATTGAAGTTTGGCAGTTTGATAGTAAGCACATAGGCCATAACTAGGAAAGTTGCCTGGGATTTTTTAGCATTGTGGAAAGTACAGAATCTTATTCTATAAGATATGTATTATGTTTGTAAACAGATGACATGATCATAACCAAGTAATTCCTGGAAAAACTACAAATGTCTAGAAAAGTATATTGAATTCAATATAATAAAAGGGAACTTTTAAGTAACAGTTTTGAAATTTGGTCTTTAAAAAAAAAAGAAAGAAAATTAGCTAAATGAAGCCCATTGGTTTTTGGCTATCCACCATTTGACTATAAAGGTTCCAAGTGACCAGAAAGGAACAGAGGTATACATGAACTATATTCCAACATAACTTGCAATTGTCTTTTTGCAAACATCAGAATTAAGAATACATGGAAAATGTGAATGCACAGAGGCTGGAGAACTATAGGAGCCCGTACTTCAAGCATCCACTGAGCTATTGGCGTAGATAAGAAATATACATCTGAGAAGCCGAGTCCTAGAGTCAGGGTCTAAGGTGCAACAGAATACACACAAGTATCAAAGTTGTCTAACATTGAGCTTGCACAAGGGTTCAGAGAACCAGCAGTGATCCTCTTCCCCATTCTTCTCCATTATAAGCGTGTGAGATCTTCTCTGGGGTCACCAGCACCCTCTTCTCTCACAGTCCCGTTAGCTGATTTTATTTCTCTTTGGAGATTAAAGGTAGAATTGATTCTCCCAGGGCTATAGTCATTCCTTTTGACATCTGTGTGGAGAAGATAAGTCAAATAGTTATACAAGAGCCTCAAAGGCAAGCTAGCTATTCACCTGGTTGAGTCAGGCTTCAGCAAGTGACTAAGGCTCCTCCCCTAGGAACCAGTCCAAAGCCACAAACTTAACAAGCCCAACTTGTGTGATTCTCAACCACTGACTGCAAGGATCACTTCCATGTGTCCTTACTCTGATTTATCCAAGGTGGTTCTGAGGTTTGCCTTCTCAAGGACAGGAAAAGACAGAGGATTCTTTGATACTTACTGCCCTTAATATAGTTAGGACACTGTTAGCAATAAATAGGACACCTTTAGATGACATCTTTGGATGGCGGAGCCAAGAATTTGAGCCCAAATTGAACTTAAGGTAAAAGAATAATTGTGTTTTATTTGTTGTTGGGTTTTTGGTTTTTTTCCCAAAAAAATAATAGTGATTTAATTTTATTGTTGCAGAGCATTCCTAAGAAGGAAACTCCCTCCATCAATGGAGTCTGTAAGTATTCTGCAATTTACAGCCTTAGAGAGTTGCCAGTCACTTAACAATTAAATGACTTCTCTTAGGGTCCCATACCCAGAAAGTATCAGAGACAGGATTTGAACTAAGGCCTTTCTGGTTCTAAGATAAGCTTCACTAAGCCATGTGATCACTCAATAATAGGATAAATCAACATATTCTAATCAGTGAAAATTTCCTCAGAATAGAAAAGCAGAACTGATATTTGAAGGGAATTGTTTGGTGGATGAATTAGAGGAGAAATAACCAACACTAAACAGAATGAGCCAGATGAAAAGGACTGCCTCCTAGAATAGAAGAAAATAAACAAAAAAAACCAATAAAAACTTGAGAAGCATGGCATAGCGAATTAAAACATGGCTTCAGAGTCAGGAAGACCTGTCCAACCTCTGAGATATAGTGGCTATATGGACCTGGACAGGCCACTTAAACTCTTGGCCTCAGCTTTTCTTATCTGTAAAATGGGGTGGGACAAGCAGGTAAACTCAGTGACCTCTAAGGTAACTTCCAGCTCTGAAGCTGTGATGCTATGAAATCATAGGTCTGTTTTAAAAAAACATATAGGGGTATTACATTCTAAAGTTTATAAAACATTTTATTCATAACAATCCTGTGAGATGAGTAGTGCAAATTAGACTTTCTTTTTACAGATAAAAGGAAACCAAGGCTAGGAGAGCTTAGATGACTTGCCACAAGTCATCCAGGTCTCCTGATTCCAAGATCTGAGCTGTCTCTCTGCTACAGCACATACAAACAGCAGTCTGTTGCAAAAGCCCATCTGAGGTTCGGCAACCTGAAAGCTCCATTTGGATGGCCACCCTTGTGCTGGCTTCTTTGGTTTAAAATAAAAATATAGTTTTGATTATTTTCCTAAAAATATACATTAAAGTCAAAGTGCCAAGATTACTGGATAATATGAGTTTTTGAGGTTATCAATTAGATGTTGCTGGGATAGTAAAAACAAACAGATTGTGCCCAGAGAGTTAGATAATTATTGAACATTTCAGGCCCACCAAAAAAAAAAATTTCCAAACATAAATTGGGAGGTGAAGTGGGATAATAGAGAAAACCATCTCCTTGATTAATCCAGACCAATGGTCTTCTGGGACCAAGCTGCATAAGGCATTGGCTTAATCCTCTGCTTTGCTGGATCAGTCACCACCAATGTCCTCAGTTTCTGCAAATTGGCCTAGACAGTTTCAGAATGAAGTAGGCTTCAAATGTCTCATTACCAAGGGACAGTATGGTATGGCAAACAAGGTACTAACATAAAAGCAGATGACCTTAGTCCAGTTCCTTTCCACTAAAGTCAAGTCAATTTATGATACCTGTGCCAGCCCCAACCACTCTTGTCCTCATATCTCTGTGTCCCAGTGAATCCTATCTACTTCTGCATCCTTCTTATTATTTTGACATCTGTTTGAAGTTAATCCAGGACTGAAGAATTATCATTGGGGATGAGTACATTTGACCAAGAACTCTTGGTGAGAAAATTCTCTCTACCAATGCGTACCAGTAACTATTCTGAAACTTAGAATTTTAAGCAATTCCTTAAGGTACTGAGAGGTTGCCCAATAGCCTGGATTTGAACTCAGATCTTCTGGACTTCAGGCTAGTTAGCTTTCTATCCACTGTGGCACACTGCCTATCACATCAATTTTTAGAATGAATGAATGAAAAAGCATTCATTAAAAGCACTTATTTTTTAAAAACACAGGTTTTCAGCACAAGATTAGACTTTGCTTATTCTTCTCTAACTGGACTAGGAATGACCCTTTGGGCTTGTAAATTTACCCCTAAATTTACTCCACATTAAGGCAAAAAGAAAGATAATTTGGAGGAGGGCAAGTCACCTTACTATAAGCAGTGAAAAGTTCCTCATAGTGGAAAAGTAATACCCTATTTTTAAGGAACATTTTAGTGCTTGAACTGGAGGAGAATAATCAAACCCTAAGTATGGTGACCCAAACTAAAAGCTTCACTTCTTGGAATGAAGAAAAATCACGTGGCAAGAACTGTCTGATCTGAGTGAGGTCTTGGGGGGGGGGGGGGGGGGGAATTCCTTCAGCTGCTTACTTTTATGTTCGAAGTAATTGTAGTGGTAACAATGTAAGTCCCACTGGAAACAGAGTCACATATCAACTCCAAAAAAGAAATAATTGAAAGTGTGTTTAAAGTGACAGGTTGATGTAATGAATACCAGAGCATTTTGACTTGACAGATGCTGTTTCTTTTGTGCCCTATCATGGTTACCCCCTCCCAACCCCCACCAAAGTGTCTGACAGGTAAATAAGGACAATGTAGGGAAATCCCAGACAATACAGCCCAGTGACCAGAAAATCAATAAGGAGGGGAGAAAGTATGGGTAGCGGGGAAGGCTTAGGGAAGAGAGTTACAAACTAGCCCTTGAGTCACATTCTCACCATTTCCTCTGTGGGAATTATCCTTCAAAAGTTCCATGGGATGAGCGTCTAACATGATGTTATTTGATCACAGACTGACAGAAATTAAAGTCAATCACTATCCTTTCATCCTTTTTGAGTCTTTAAAATTTAATGAGACAAAAATATGATTGTAATTTCCCCCCTCAATTCCATGCTACCATGCATGCTGTTTTAAAAGATATCTGTTTTAGAGAAAAATAAAATTGTTTGGGGGCATACCCGGGAGTTTGAGCTTCCTACAACAGGAATTGCAGCAATGCTTTGCAATGAAGTTTCTAATTGCATCTTCCCCTAAATTTGCCGGTCCAAACACCATCCCTCTTGATCTAGAGGAAATATCAGAATATCAATTAGATCACAGTTAAGAAAAAGGAGCCCGACTCAGATTCTCTAAGATACCTAACAGTCTCCCATAGTAACCCAGTAAAATTGTGTGAGCCAACAAAGAACAGAGAACTTTTAGAAGAGAAGTAACAATGTTAGGTTTGCACATTTAAAATTCAAATGCACTTAAATCCTTGTACCCAACTCCATGGACTACTGGGAAATTCATTTCCAAGATAATCTGATCGAAGAGAGAATTTTCTATGCACAATAGTAAAACAAAATACAGAAAGCCCCTTTTGAATGCTTGGGGGAGAAAGGAATGACATTCATTATAGAGTGTTCGTCCAGAGTACCCAACAGATAAGCTGCAAAATAAAATTAGTTTTGCTATTAGAACACACCTACTAACTGGACTCACATGCAGTGTTTCAAATCCAAATACAAGTTCCAAAACATGAGTTATATCATCTTAAAGAAATACATGACAAAGGACTATAAGAGTTCTATGAACAAGTGATTTTAAAAGCTGCCTTCCACTGTACTAACTTCCACCACTAGTCTGCCTCTTGGGAATGGATTACTTCTCTTAGCTCACTGGTGGAAAGAAACCACTCATTCTAAATGTAGTGACAAAATAATAAATAGAATCTGGATATATTGAGCATGTTTAAGGAGTACCACATAATTACAACAGATTCTTAATGTAGTTTCTACGATCAATATTCATTAATTATAACACCACATGACCATTATTCTTTAAAAATTTAATTGATGCTCTAGACATCCCAGAACACAGAATACCAGAAATCCTTCCAAAGAAACTATGAAAGCTAATATTTTATTTTAATGACATGCAGAGTGGAAAAACACATTTTAAAAATCTGAACTCAATTATGGCTCTCAAATGCCAAGTCCTGAGGGGGGGAAAAAAAAGAGGCAGGAGAGAATCAAAATATAACAAAAGGAAACAATAAACTTCACTTCTAAGGAATGTGGTTTTCAAAAAAAAAAGCGTAAAAATGAACTTTTTTTCTGTCTGAGTATTGAAGCATTTATCTCAATTTCCACTTCCTTTTGGCAGAACAGCAGAAACTGCTCTGAAGATGTGCCAAACTCAGATTAAGGGTTGATGTCAATTTCATCTCAGATTGCCTCCATGCTCTAAGGGAAGGAGGTAGAGGAAATCCCTTGGGAATTCAGAGCTAACAAACACCTAGGATTAACTTTCTTGGTCACTCAACCTCATTTACAAAGTCCAGCTCTGGTGGTATTTACAAAGCTGCATAAATTAGCCCTTCTTAACCATCTTTCTCTACATCAATCCATTAGTCCATATGGTGAGTGATAAAATACTGGTGGGGGGGGGAAGGGCAGAGAAGGGAAGGGAAGGAAGGAAACAGCAGAATTATTCCATATTTAATGACTATACATCATAACGCCTAAGAAATGAAAACTTAAAGTGCCATTTTAGTCTCAGAAACTGAATAGTTCCTTTCTGTTTATCTCTTCAGCATGACCCAAATGCAATATTTGACTAGAGAGTATTTATGTATTACATACCTACAATTTCTGTGTGCAGAGCAATACTTCCAAAGAGGTGATACCATTTCTCAGAATTTAAAAGGTGTGGCCATACATAAGCTAATATTTTTTCCCCACAATCTTTAATGAAAGTACATGTAAATGCCTCAGAACCCTAATGTAAAATGAATCTGAGGGATTAAAATATTTCCTGGGGATGTGTGTTTAAGTGGACATTGGCCTACATGTGACTTTTAAAGAGCTTTGCACTTGTATCCTGCAACATGTTTATGGCCTCACAGTCTCAGATAAAGAAGTGGAAGGAAAAAAAAAACCTACTACTCCTAAAGACTTGCTATTTTTCATATTCCTCCAAACATATGAAAAACAGGTGGTAGTTTTGTTCCACGTGCAAGTGAGCGTTAATTAGTGCCAGCTATACATAGCCTTCCTAAAGAACATCACATCATCGCTTCATATTTGTCAAATGTCAAAAATGAATGAAGCAATGAGCATACAAAAGATACATTTGCTAACTACCAATATATCCCAAGTTGGAAATGAACCAGTGTGAACCACCACCCAGGAAGGTGATCTACATAGTTAATGCAAATAGCCAGATCATATTCTTTCTATATAAAGCATTTCCTGATTGCTACATACAACTAGTTATTAGCTCTCTGAAAATTGAGACAATTACTTCCTATTACTACCTTGACTATGACATTTATTAATGTTCATTTTGTCATTTTTGCCTTTGTACTGCCCTGCCCCCAGCACCCTTGTGTCTTGCATGATTTTAGCTTTGTCTTTGTTCAGACCTTCGATTTCATCAGCTTAAGAAAAGCCTGGTACAGAAATTCGCTCCACCACCATGTAGGCGGGCTATCCTTCTGCAGTTTAGTCTTAGCTGCTTGAGACACAGAGATTAAATGACTTACTTGCTGATAATCACATAGCCAGAATGTGTCAAAGGTATTGATGAATACAGGTCATCCTGACATCAAGGCTGGCCTTCCATCTAGTCTTCTGTGCTGCCTTTCACGCACGCTTTTTTTTTTTTGTACTGGACCCATGATTTCAATGGTATAGGAAGCTCTCCAGTAGGGAAACTCCCTCTATCAATATAGATCAGCATCTGGCTTTGTAACATTATCTTAGAGAACTGCCTGTGGCACTTTTTAAGTGACTTGCCTAGGGTCACAAACTGTCAGAAGCAGGATTTGAACCCAGGCCTTCTTTGACTCCAAGACCATATCTACTATCTACTACAGCACACTGCCTAATACACACAGAATAAATATTAAACTGAATGGAATTTTGAGGTAAAAGAAGATAGAGTGGATAATAAAGAAAAAGACAGTTTAAAGTCTAAATTATCAAAATGGTTATTCTATAGTCACAGTCACATTCACTGGAACACTTCAGGAAGGGAAGAGAAGGGAGAAAGACGCATGGGTAGATAAACCAGAGGAGGTACTTCTAAGTCTAGACCATACTGCTCTTCCATGAAAAACAACTGTGCCCCATGAAGGAAATTTTATTTTATAGTCTTGACCCAGTGGACATAGAATGGATGTTGGATAGTTTCCACAACTGCCAATCAAAAGACAGGATGCCAGATGACAGTCTCTAGGGGTAACATGCTACTGCTGCTCCCACCTAAAACTTCAAAAAGTCAAGGTCATCCCACAAGCTCTGGGACAATTATTCAATTATCCTCTGGGCTCATCCAGCCCTACAGAAAAATCCTGGAAGATATAAATACCAAGAGAATCTAAAAAGGAAGATCTGTGGAAGCTGAAATTTGATGACCAAAGTACACTTATACCTAGTTCATGATAGACACAAAAAATTTTACTACAAAACCAAAAAGATAATATGTGTACCATAAAACAACTGTTGCTGTTGCTCAAACTCAAGCTTTGGGAAGATTAAAGAGGGTACAAATTTTTTAAAGTCCTACACTGGCTAAAAGCAATGAAATTTATATACTTTCTCCTCAAGGACATACTATGGGCTGTAGAATTAATTCTATGGCCTATAAAAATTTTTCTAAGAAATTTAGGATGGGACAGAACATGTGTGTGTGTGTGTGTTAACATGGGTAAGCCTTATCTTGGGGATATTTCTTGATTGAAGAAAACAAGACAGATTTGGATTTAACTTCCACTTTGGACACAAATGTGAGTTTGGCCAAGTCATGTAACTTTTCAGTTCCCCAGGCAAACAAGGCTTTAAATTGCAAAGCAGATGTCAATCTACATTGATAGAGTTTTGGGTTTTTTTTTAATCAAGAGTTCCTTACACCAACCACAGGTGTAGATACCATCCCTTTTATCCCCCCCTAAAAATCCTAAATCGATCATATATCCATTACTCTGTTTTATAGATTATTTTCCCCAAAGGCCAACACAAGTATTCATAATTACATCATGTGTCTCTATCAAAAGATACAGAACTAAATAGCTCTAACATGAGTTCTACTGGTAGTCAAAACTACATATTTCCCTTTATAAAGTATGACTGCTTTTAGGTAGCATTGTGTATATTATAGGAATTGGGGAACACCATCATCAATCACTTAATAAACATTTATTAAGTACTTACTATGTGCCAGGCACTATGCTAAGCACTGAGGATACGAAAAGAAACAAAACACAGTCCCTGGCCTAAAGAAGCTTACAATCTAATGGGGAAGACAATACGCAAACAAATACACACAAAGACAATTAGAATACAGGATACATGGAAAATAATTAATAAAGGGAAAGCCCTGGAATTAGGAGAGGCTAGGGAAGAATTTCTGTAGAAGGTGGGATTTTAGTTGGAGCCAAAACACATAATGAGTGTAAGCAAATTGCAACTTATTACCAATGATGACTTAGACATAAGAAGTGACAAATATGATATCAAGCACACATGACATAAAATGAGGTGATATGAGCATGTAACAAGTACAAAGAATGGAAAGCCTGGGCCTCATGCTGGTGGGTCAACTAGCATTATGCCAGGCAATGAGGATATAAAGAAAGGTTAAAAGCAATTCCTGTTCTCAAAAGTTCAGAGTCTAATGGGAGAGATAATAATAACAACAATAATATTGATAACTGCAAGATATTAAAAAGACCCAAAGAAAGGCCTCCAAATTCCTCAATGGAGGGTACAAATGGCAAACTCACAGGAACAAAGGTAACCACATCCATGAAATCAGTACATATTTTTCCTACACACTACTGGATGAGTTTGTAAAGCATTTTAGGTCACCTTCTTAGGAACAGTGCCATTTTACTGTAAGATATGAGACTGAAAGACTTACATGGGGGTGACACTGAAAGAATTAGAGGGTCTGACCTCAGCAGAAAAGTACTGTAAGAGCACAGACGGTTACGAGTTAAGTATTCCTATCTCATTACCCCTGCCATATCATATTTATTACTATATCTTCATCCCTGCCAAAACTAGCAACTACTACAATCTCAGGGTTTGCTAAATGACAACAGAGAAATCAAAAGAAACTTACTGTTTGTCTTCAGGTTTAATAACAGATGGATCTGTCAGATTTTCTCCAACACCTCCAAAAAGAGATACAAAATACATTAGCTAAACGAGGCTTTTCATTTTTACCCAAAATTCTTCAAAATAAAATTGGCTCATTCCTTATTTTTTTCATCAGGAAGTGAATAGAGGGCTAAAGTTGGAGTCAGGAAGAGCAGAGACAGGCACTACCTGTGTGAGAGTGTGCAAATCATTTAACATTGGGACTCTTGATTTCTTCATTAGTAGAATGGGTACAACAAGAGTATCATTCTCAAAGGGTGGTTATGAGACCCTAGTGAAATAATATCTGTAAAGTACTTCTATAGCTTAATGTGCCATATAAACTTCAGCTATGATAATATTCCTTCCAAATACACATGCCCCACTCCAGATAAATGAAAAGAAAAAAAAGCTGCTATGATAAATTTATGGGTGCAGGTGAGAGAGATCTGGGTTTGAATTTTGTCTCTGTCATTTACTGTGTGACTTAGTGCAAGTCACTTAATCTCCCTGGGCTTCCCTTTCCTCATGTGAAAATGAAAGGGTCACTAGATAACACCTAAGGTCTTATCTAACTCTAGATCTAAGATGCCTAACTTCTCCCCTCCTGCTGCAGCCTAAACCCCACCACACACACACACACACACACACACACACACACACACACACACACACACACACACACACACACCCCACCACCACAAGGAACTCATTTTTACTTAATGAATAAGTAACATTCAACCCTCATACTGGGGCAACTAGGTGGCCCAGTGGATAGAGCGCTGGGCCTGAAGTCAGAGAGACTTATCTTCCTGAGTTCAAATGTGACCTCAGTCACTTACTAGCTGTGTGACCTTGGACAAGTCACTTAACCCTATTTGCCTCAGTTTGCCTCAAATGATCTGGAGAAGGAAATGGCAAACCACGTCAGTATCTTTGCCAACAAAACACCAAATAGGGTCACAAAAAGTTGGACACAACTGAACAACAATAACGACAAAACTCTCATATACCAGGAGAAGAGATCATATGTGTCCCATAGCTGTAGAGATGATATAGCTAAAGATTCATGATTAATCAGAGTAGGGAAAAACAATCATCCTGCTACTGTAAAGAACAATTAGAACAATTGTTTACACGTGTCAAATGAGAATGGGACATTTCTGTGAAGTGCAAATGTTCATAGGATCATAGATCTGGGGCTGGAAGAGCCTGTCTAGTCCAATTGCACTATTTTAGAGATGTGGAAACTGAACTTTGAAGAGATGAAGTGATTTGCCCCAGATCACAGAAGTGGCAGAGAGAAGATTTGAACCTAGGTTCTCTGACTTGAGAGGCAATGCACTTTCTACCGTGCTACTTAAGCGTCTGATACTAAGAAGGCCCTGCAGGGTAATTATACAATCTCTGGCTCAATTCTTAGAGCTCTGGTAATATTTTATGTATGGTAGGTGCCTTTCCTTTCCCAAAAGTCACCAACTTTGCAGGAAAAGCAAGTGAAAAATAATAATGGATTTTTTTTTTCACATAAAGCTAGGTCTGCCTTCTTCATAAAGAAACCAACACTGTTGTCTACTTTTTAAAAAAAAAATTTTGCTATATTTTGAATTTAAAAGTATACTAAGATACTTAAAAGAAAACAAAAGAGATATCTTTGTGGGAATCTGTATTTAAAGGAACAGTTTACCTTATTCAGTTAAATGGCTCAGCACAGCTGATGCCTCATTTTGCATATTGATTTGGAAAGGTGGGAATGGGGATGAGGAAGAGGAGTCTTGATGTATGCTATAGCTATATATTCAGGGAAGGCAGGGAAGTCTAGGTTTCTCTCTCTAGCTCAGTCTTCCTAATTGGGCAAAAAAGACCCAGAGAAATTGACTGACTTGCCTAAGGTCACAGAGAAAGAACTGGAGCAGGCTGAACAGCCTCGATGCTCTGCCCTTTTAAATTTAGTTCTGAGAGTAAAAGGAGAAAAGTTTAAGAGAACTCTGGACTTCTGAAGTATAAATAACAAAATACTCTGATAGGTGGGGTGCAAGTACCATTTGAGGCTGTCTCATGTAACTTGCTCAAGTTTACACCTAAGGAAGCCAATCCAATCCGGGGAGCATTTATTAAGCACTTACTATGTGCTGCCTACATTGTTGTCCTAGGTGCTGAATGCCTCCAGCTTCTGGTACCTTTGGGATCCCAGAAATGCATGGCCAAATACTTCAGTGTGACTTGTGAATCAGTTGTCAGTCTAGATGGGAAGTATGCCAGTACTTATAACAGCAATCGAGTGAAAGCATGTTTAGGAAATTAAAGGCATATTAAAAGCAGGTTATTGCTTGTTTAAAATCTCACTCCTCATCCTTTTATCTGTATTCTGTCACAGTTATATGGCTCATTAAAAAGAGATTATTTTCTTATAGCCTACAAAATTATACACTTTTTACTTTGGCTCATGAGATGATATATGCAAAGTGCTTTGCAAACTTTGCAGTACTCTATAAATGCCAACTTTAATTAATAATAATAATTGCTATTATCATTATTATTATTTGGAAAGTTCCAAATTGAAAGACAGTGCAACTTGGTGAAAAAAGTGCAGTTCCTTCCAATTGTAGCCAAACACCGCTAAGGGTCACTCCAGCTTCTCAGACCTTGATACTAAGCAGGTTAAACTTATCTCAAGTGACAGTGACCCACTGGGTTCAAATCCTACCATAGTCAGAAACTTACTAGCCATGTGACCTTGGGTAACCTGACTTCTCTGGATCTCGGTTTCTTTCTGATCCTCTGAACTAAATCTTGCAATGGGTAAATCAGAGACTGTCATTTCAATTAGAAAAGAAAAGAACACTATATATTCTCTAGTCCAATACTCTCATTTTAAAGATGAGGAGAGTGTGAGCCAGAGAGGTTAAGTTGCTAGCCTAAGGTCACATAGGCACTAGTTGTTGGAGCCATAATTCAACCCAGGTCTCCTAACTCCAAATCCAATGCATTCTCCCACAATACTACACTTAATGATACTTATGCAAATATATAGAAATGACATCCCAAATACAGAAGAAAATAGATTAACAAGCTGGGAATATATTCTAGCCAACAAATTCTAAGATGGCTTAAGGTTGAGGGACCAATATTAAACTACTGTCAGTTGAACCATTGTTGTGGTCCAACACAGCCAAAACAAAGGGGTCACCAAATAGGTGACGTTTATTTCAGCATACTGAATTGGGCCTTTATCCTTTGTAAGATCATAGATCTAAAGCTAGAATGTTCCTTAGGGGTCATCTAGTCCAATCCATTCCTCCCTCTCCTGTTACATATAAGGAAACTGAGGCTCCGAGTGGTTCATTAGAAAGCTGGATGGACCCTCAGGGGCATCCTCTTCCAACTCCTTTATTTTATCAATGAGAAACCCAAGGCCCAGCAAAGCTAAGTAATTTCCCAAGATCAGAAAGGAGATGTAACAGAGCCAGGCTCTTCTTTCACATGCAGGACTCTTTTGCCTACACAACTCTGCATATAAACATTTGCATGGGATGGAGAAAATGTGTTGCTATTAAAAACTACTCATAACTCTAAAAGTAAATTATGAATCTCACTGATAGAATGCAGCCCCCTTGAAGGCAAGGACTATAACATTTATTTCTTTTTCTGTGTATCTACAGCACAGGCATAGGACCTACCACATAGCAAGATACCTTTGTTAACTAATTGAGAGGCAATGTGGCATAATGAATAAAGTGCTGAGTTTGGAAGCAGGAAGACCTGAGTTCAAATCTCCCCTCAGATACTAACAAGTCATGTGACTGTAGGCAAGTCACTTGACTGCTCTGGGGTCAGTTTCTTCATATGTAAAATTGAGGGGGTTATACTTGATGACTTCCAAGGTCCCTTCCAGATCTAAATCTATGGTCCCATAGGAGAGTGAACAACAAGAAGTACATTCCCAAGGGAAACTGAGTCATGAATTCCAATACTGATTACCACAGAAAGTCTTTGGATAAACCTGTCTGGGTTAAAAAGAAAAAAGAAAAAAAAAACTCCACTGACTTATTCCGAAGAGTACTGTGTGAAAGAACAAATTAATAACCACAAAGTACTTTGAAAATAAAATGAGTTATATAAATGCTAAGTACTAGTGTTATTTGAAATGCAATTGTTTTAATTCCCATTTCGGAGCATGCTAAGCTTCTGATGTTGGATCACAAGTGTAATCGGAATGATTCAGGCCCTCATTTATTTGATTTTTAAATGGAAAAAGGCTGGAAACTGCAGGATATTTCCATCAGGATGGAGTCAAGGCAACAGGTCATTAACTTTGCTAAGCTAGTCCTCGTGGATTCCAGCTTTCCACAGTTGGGCATGATTGTACAATATCTGACTGGCACTGCTGCTTGTACAAGAAGTCAGAAGATGAAACTTCTTTCATTCTTCCTTCTTCCCTTCTCCTTTCCCACTCATCCCACCCTTCCCACTCCCTTGGCAAAGGGGCAGGCCCCACAAAGACAGTTAGGAAAGCCTAGTGCCTTGCCAGTGGATGTGATCTTCCGGGAGCACAAGCACAACTTGAGATGGCAAGCTCTGGCAAGTCTTCCTTTACCTTCAGGGCTACTCTCCAGCAACATAAAGACTTACTGTGATTTAGCACACAGTAGGTCCTTAATAAATGCTTATTGACTTTTCTTGACCAGCACTCTCACCCTTAGAGCTAGCTTTCCATACAAGCAGAACAAGCACTGCACCAAGACCATCTTAAATACTTTTATAGATTTGAAAATAAGTAATATTTCCTCAATTTCCCCTTCCTATCTAGTTTGGAAGATATACACATCACTTTACATATTCATGCCTTACCAGCAAGCCAAAAATTTTAGATGTGTATCTCTGCTTCTTCATGTTCAACTTTGATGTTGATGTTTAACTATTACATTGAAAGTCAATATTTTGACATAATTTATTTGGGGTGACATAGTTTGGGTTTTTTTTTTCAATTTTGAGGTGACCTATTTCTACAATTGACATAATTGTCCAGTAAAAGAAAAATTTTTTTGAAGTTAGTTTTCTATTCTCCTAATACCATAATCACAGCATTTGTTGTCTTCAATGTCGCTTTGTTTTGCTAAGAGACATGGAATCCCCAAACAGAAACAGTATTAAACAAAGACCTATTCAAGTGGAATTCAAAACACACTGAAGAGTCATCATTAATTCCTTAAAGTTTTGTTCTGTTTTGCTTCTTAGTGGTCGTTTGTTTTATTTTCTTTCTTTCTTTCTTTCTTCCTTTTTTTTTGTTTGTTCTGGCCAATTCCACCCCAAACATAAAGTACAAGCACTCAAATACAGATGAAAATCATTAACCTCCCAAACTTGAACTGCACAACAGATGCCTTGGGCATTAGTTTTGGGGAGTTTGATAGATCAAATATTCCTTTAAAATTTGAATTAGTTTGGCTGTTTTAACTTCATTTATATTACCTCCTGGGTTCTTATAGTGTTTTTGAGGCTGGAAGGTATATTTCATTCCCATCAACAGAAGCACTGTCAATAAATATAATTACACATATGTTACAGGTAAAGGGGCTATATATCTTTGGATAGAATAACACAGGGGCTGGTCAGAGTAGGAAGATTTCTAAGTCTTCTCAAGCACTGTCAATAATGAATTGTTAGAATTGCTGTCTAATGCTGGCTCTCCCTGACCAACATGCCCCTAATAGTCACTATTGAAACCAGGATGCCAGGAGGCTGGAGAGAGCCTCATGTGAGCACACAGCTCCAGAGAGACTGCAATATGATTGAAATGCTTCACCAGAGGACACCATGGTCAGCCTATGAAGATAAGGAAAATCTGAAGACATTGCATTACTTTCAAAATAAAAGCAAGTTTTCCATGAAGCAATGTGGTATACAGTAGGAATAATCCTGGATCTGGGATCAGAGGACCTGGATTCAAATCTCAGTCCAACCACTTACTACCTGTGTGACTGTGGAGCAAATGAAGGGGTTGAACAACATAACCTCTAGGCAATCAATCAACAAGTATTTATTGCCTACTTATTACCAACTGGGCAAATCATTTCCTTACTCTGTCTCTGTATCTATCTCTCTCTGTCTCTCTCTTTGTCTCTCATCTGTAAAATGAGGAGATTGTACTAGATGGCCTCCAATCAATAAGTATTTAAGTGTCTATGTGACCTTGAGCAAGTCATTTCCCTTCCTCTCTCTTTCCGGATGGGTCTCAATTTCCTCAAAGGGGTTGGTCTAGAACAGGGCTTCCTAAACTTTTTCCACCCTCAACTCCTTTTTGGTTTCAGCAGTGTTTGTTGGCATTGTCGTGGCCTGAGAGCATGCATAGTGCATGCTCTGTGTTCAGAACCAAGGCTCCATGCAACATGGGCTAGCACTGCCAGAAACACCTCAGATTCATTAAGCATTTGATTTTTAATTAATTTTTTGGCATTGCATGTTCAGAAACCTTTTATTGTTGCCAAATTTTTCGCCACGCCATGTGGGGTCACAACCCACAGTTTAAGAAGCACTGGTCTAGGATACCTGTAATCAATCAAGCAATTAGCAGGTATTTTTTTTTTCAAGATCAAGGTACTATGTTATATGTTGGTGATACAAATACAAAGAATGAAACAATCCCTATTCATAAGCTTACATTCTAAACATCCTTTCTAACTCTAAAACTGTGATTGGATGATCCTATTACATTAATGTACATGAGCAGTTTGTTATAATTTGATTTTTCTCTTTCATAAGAAGTTAAGAAAATCGAAAAGTAAACAAAAGAAGTTAAAACAATGAACTGCAAAGTTGGCAATCTCAAAATTCTGAAAATATCTCCCCTAAATTTCTACTATACTTTTTCCCAATTATGAAAATGACAGTGATGAGGCCATAAAGTTGAAAATCTTGAGATGAAAATCATGCTTCATGCAGCACAAAATTGCAAATGTCAGAAAATGCAAATAAGTTAAGCATCAGTAGAAACAGTATTGAATCTGAGGTTGGAGGACTTGGGATTCATATCTCGGCTATGCCACATACAACCTGTGAGACTTTAGGCAAGTCATTTCAGCTCTCTGAGCCTCATTTTCCTCATTGTAAAATAAGGACTTTGGACTAGATGATCTCTAAGTCCTCTTTCAGCTCTAAATCTATGATATGACATAGTGACAGAGCCTATATAATGGGCTATAGAATAGAATGGAATCTAAATAATAGTATAATATAGCATTATACTAATTAATTATTAATTATATTAATTAATATATAATATAATATGTAGAATAGTAAATAATAATAAGTAATAGAATCTAAAATGGAGGCAATAGTCCTACTGTGCAGAATACTGTGTTCAGTTCTGGGAGCCATATACTACAAAAGTAGAATGGTGATATACTGAAGCAGATCCCCAGGAGGGTTACTAGGATGGTGAAGAACTTCAAAAACTATGCTATATGTTGTTGAAGAAACTAAGGATAATTATCCTAGAGAAGAAGGTTAAGGCAGTAATGATTGTTGCCTCTAAATAACTAGAGAGCTTTCATGTATAAAAGGACTTGATTTATCCTTCTTGGCTCTAGAGGACAGAAGTACCAGCCATGAGGGAAGGTTGCAAAGAGGTAGTTTTCAACTCCACATAAGAAAAAAACTTGTTGACAATCAGAGCTGTTAAAAAGTACAATGGGAGGGGCAGCTAGGTGGTGCAGTGGATAGAGCACCAGCCCTGAAGTCAGGAGGACATGAGTTCAAATCCGGCTTCCAACCAAATACTTGACACTTACTAGCTGTGTGACCCTGGGCAAGTCACTTAACCCTAATTGCCTTAAAAAAAAAAAGTTTGTAATAAAAAAGTACTATGGGATCCCGTGGTGGTAAGCTGCCAAACACTGGGTGGGGGGGGGATGGGGGTGTGTCTGAGCAAAAGCCGGATGACTTTGTCAGGTGTGTTGTAAATAGAATTCCTCTTCAAGTATGATTTGGACGAATTGATCTCTAAGGTGAGTTTGCAACCCTTGAAATTCTAAGGTTTCAATAAAATAAAAAAAATTAAAGTACTCAATATCACTTTTCTTTGGATCACTAAAAAATTTCTAAAACATGCATGTAACCCTTCACATACTCATAAACACCTACATATATATTTGCATGTATATGCAGATATACACATATACATACATATATACGTGCTTTTGAATGAAATAAATGAATAGACAGAGACAGAGAGACAAAGACAGAGAAGAAGCATAGTATAAGCGATAACATTCATTTTGAAATAGATTTTTTTAAAGCATACAATGTCAGAGGCTGTTACCATTAAAACCCTATAATAATGGCAATAATCACAAAAAATGCCTGGACTATTTGGCATTGACCTGGACCTGGGGGGTCAATTGCTTATGACATCTGTAAGAAGACAGAGATCAGAGCTTTGCTTTCCAGAAACATTCCTACAGGTCTCAGATATACCATAGTCCACACTGCCAATCACCTTGCAAATCCAGAACAAGTAGTTCTCCTCGGGTATATTCATAAGTCCAGTGGGAAAAAGACAACATCAGCTCCTCCAAGATGTTTCTGGGAGAGATTTCATCCCCATTGTTGTTGTTGTACTTGCGGAACTCACCAGTCATGTACTTCTCTATGGTCAACCACTGGTTGGCTGAGTGGCAATATATCAAAAAGACCTCCAGGAACCTGTGGAAGAGGGGAAGGATGCTGACCATCACAGGACAACAGAAGGCAAAAAATGGAATTCCCCCCCCCACCCATGGTGTAACATAGGCAAGACTGTTAAGACAGTAGAACATAACCCAAACAAGATAGCTGTTGTATCCAGAAGGACTAAGAATGAGAGTAGGGGTATTTTCTGAAGTATAGCCCCCTTTTCATTTTGAAGAACCCTCCTGTTCTTTATAAGTATTATGCCCAACATTACTTGTCGTGCTCTGAAAGTTCCTTGTAAAAGTAGTGATAAAACTTTACAGTTAAGTCTTCAGTACCAAATTACCATCAGTCTTATTAAATGAATACAGATGTGTAGGAACACTCAAATGAAATAATAAAAGTGATGTGATCTTATAATGCTCCCTCCTTTTATGTGGTAATGGGAAAGTTGTTCTTAAAGCCAAATAACTTTTCTTTCATGGTTTTATCTGGATAATATTGATACTCATGAGCTAGATATCCAATACCAGCCAGGACCCTTTCCTGCACAGCCTCTCTTCTTCACCTAGCTTGAGAAAAGCAACCTCTGTAAAAAGTATAATAAATTAAGACGCATTACCACTACGACCTCCAGCTCAGACACAGTCCCACAATCCCCTACTTTCATAATGTCACTGGTGGTGAATTATGGGCCCATCTGCATGGCAATACCAGACTATACTAACAACATCTATTTATTATTGGATGTCATAAGTTTAGAGCTGAAAGCAACCTCTGAAGGTATCTACTACAACCTCCTCATTTTTTTGGATGAGGGAACTGAGGCCCAGAATGGTTGACCAATGCCACAAAAGGAGAAGAATCAGAGTCAAGATCCGAACTGTGATTCTAGATGGGTTTTCCCTTGTGCTATGCCTCCTTATATTGGAGAGAAATACATATTCTATCTAAACTAGGAACAAAATTGAAAACATGGGCTGGTGGCACATTTACCCAGAAACCTAAGTATTTCTGTTGAGAAATACTGTTAGTTATATAAAAGACAAGTCACTTAACCCCATTGCCTAACCAAAAATAAATAAATAAAAGATAAAATAGGTTATATAAAAGAAGCACAAGACAGAGCAGATCCAGTTTGGTCTGACAGATTTAACTGCAGAAATAAAAAGGTTTTCTTACCTTGGTGTATAAGGAATAGTATGTGGTTTCATTTGGTTGAAGGTATAGATCAGTTTTTGAGCAGCTCTTTGTTGTTGGATCTCCTAAAAAACAAAACCAAAAAAAAAAACCAGGATAAATTTATCAAGATTGGTTTAGTAGGAATCCTAAAAAGAAATATCTTCCTGCTAAACAATAATCAATTTTAAATATGTCAACGAGAATGCTAAGTTGATGTCTGTTAAATATCAACTATAACATATTTGTTCAGAGGGTTTCCATTAAACAATTGCTTTCAACCAACCTCAGGGTTTTGTTTTGTTTTTTAACTTTGAAACAAAGAAATTCAAACAGGCCACCCTTTTAATTGGAAATGATAGCACTAGGTTGGGAAAGGTCTACCACGCTAGCCCCAACCTGTGTGCATCTCCAATATAAGATCACAGAGTTAGACTTGGAAAGGACCTTAGAGACCATCTAGTGCAACCCTGTCATTTTATAGATGAGGAAACTGAGGCAAGAGAGATCAGGTAATTTGTTCAAGATCATTCAGGTAGTAAGTGGTAATGGCAGGGTTTGAACTCAAGTCAGCAGATTCCAAAGCCAGGGCTCTTTCCACTCACTGTAGCACACCTCCTCTCAGAACCCAGACTCACCCTGAGGCAGAGATGTAGTATAGTGTTTTCTCCAAAAATCTTGCGCCAGGTCTGTACCACCTCAGGAAGAAAGGATTTGACGATGAAGACCTGCCCTGGCTTGATCACATCATCTTCAGACCACGTACTGATTACTTTCATGGCTTTCCGGAGCCCTCCATCCATCTCCTCCCGGGATAAGACCTGGATCATTGCAGTTGTTCCACACTGGGACCAGGAGGACATGCTTTTATCAAGGTTCAAAGGAGAACTCTCCTCTAGTCTGTAGATGGTCACTTCTTCTCCAGCTAAAGAAAGGGGTGGCAGGGAAGGAGGAGGGGAGAAGTGTAAAAGGAAACATCAAGGAATTTGTCCAGTATTACTAGGTTTTATAAGGACATTCAATCAACCCAATGGTAGTAAAAGATTACTGGATATCAAATCTACCCCAAAATAATTCTAACTTAACAGGTCAACTTAACTAACTTAACATAATCCTTAGAAAAGGTCCTAGATCTTGCCATTTTTCATTCAAAAGAGTCTTCAGTAAAAACAAAGAAACAAACAAAAAAAATGAACAAAGGCACCAGGGGATAAAGGATAGGATTGTTTTCCAAAGTCAAATGTTTTATCTATAGTATGGAAAGGCAAAAAGTAAAAAAAATTAAAGTAACTAATATAGATTCATCTCTTTCAAAATAAAAAAGGAAACCCTTCTAAGATAACCTATGATCATTTGGTTAGAATACAATACTCATAAGGCCAAAGTTAAGGTTTCAGAACTTTACAGAGACCAAACAATTCTAGAGGACCAATGATGAAATATGTCACCCTTCTCCTGCCCAGAAGAGGTGGACTCAATAAACAGAATGAGACATACATGTTTGAACATGGCCAATATGGGAATTAGTTCTACTTGACTATACATATTTGTTACAAAGGTCTTATTTCTTCTTTCTTTCTTAAGGGAGTGGGAGGAGATGAGAGGGAGAGAAAATAAATGCTTGTTAATTGAAAAAAAAAGTTTAAAAAAAAACTGTACAGAAAATAACTTCCACAAGCAGCAACCACAATCCTAACTGCAGCCAGCCAGTTGTCTCTACAGAAGATACAAAGATCATTAAGGACGTGGGCTCAGAGTAATATATCACTCCAACTAGAAAAACAATTCAAGTGCTGGTCCTATCAACACTGATTAAACAGTGTGGTACAATAGATATATTCATATTACACACTTAGAAAGAATCAAAACATCAAGAAACAGTGTACATGACACATTTTTATTACCCTTTCATCAAGAAAAATTGCATGTGACAATGGGACACAGTGATATTTTCACACAAAAATTAGTCAGAAGTAAAGTCTAATATGACAAAAAAAGAAAAAAGAAAAAGAAAAAAAAACATAAAACTGTTGGAAGCTAAGCACTCCTGAATGATTTATAATGAGAGTGAATCTTTAGAATATGTTGCTAAAGGTGCTGAAAACATTTTTATTCTCATTTTTAGCTGTGAAATCAGAATCTCAAACTTCCTCTGTTTAACTGGTAAAAAAAAAAGTTTTGGGGCAACTAGGTGGCACAGGGGATAGAGCACAGGCCTTAGAGTCAGGAGGACTTGAGTTCAAATCCATACTCATACATATAACATTTACTAGCTGTGTGACCCTGGGCAAGTCACTTAACCCCATTGCCTAGTCAAAAAAAAAAATATTTCAATTATTCTAATCCCAGATTACAATGCAAATTAAGTTATTTAACTGAATATGGAGAAAATCTAATTGGTTTGGGACAGTCCATTGTTAGAACTGAGTGTCTCCTAAAATAAATAACAAATGGCATGAGTGACACTGGTGTTCCATCTTATAATTCTATTCCCTAGTCCTTGACTTTAAAGGGTATGCAACCTATAATGCCCATATTTGTATAAAGAGTTATTCCTCCTTTCACATCCTCTTCAAATGTGCTTCAGTTCATGGAAGTGACCCTGGGTTCTTGAAGAGTCTACCAAAAAAAATGCAAGCCCTGGTCCATTTAACCAAGTCAGAAGGCCTTGGACTACTGGCCAAACAAGAAATTGATTATCATAGAGTCATGGAACCAGAGATCTAAAAGTAGAAGGGATCTCTTTAGAAGCCATCTAGTTAAACCTATTTATTTTACAGACAAGGAAAATGAGGCACAAGGACTTTTCCAATGTCACACAGGTAGTAAGCACCAAAGAAAGGATTTGAACCCAGGGCCTCAGAATCCAGAGCTAATGCAACTTCCCCCTGTAGTACACTCACTCTGTCAGCCAAGGACAAGCCTAGGAAAAATGGAGCTTTCCAGGTCTCCAATATGCCGATAGATCTCTGATCTCATCAATATGAGTACCACTTCCAATAATACATCTTCCATTCATGCTTGCCTATTGTCCATATTTTTTTATAAATTTGCCACAGTGAGGTCTCATCCAGTGTTTTGGGAACTTTCTCAGGATATTTTATGGATAACAATGGAGCACATAGGTTGACCACCAGTTATTCTTCCTCCTCCTCCTCCTCCTCCTCATCATGTAGTGGAAATAGTAGTAGCGGTAGTAGTAGTAGTACTAGTAAACTAAAGTTTGGAATGCTTTATGGTTTACAAAGTACTTCACAAATGTCATCTCATTTGATCCTCACAACAACCTTGGAAGGTAAGTGCTATTATTACCCCCATTTTATAGATGAGAAAACTAAAGGAAATAGAAGTTAAGTGACTTGCCCAGGGTCATACAGCTAGAGCCTGAGGTAGAATTACAACACAGGTCTCCCTGACTCCAAGCACAGAGTTCTATACACTGTGCCACCTAGCTGCTTCTTAACATGTGACCAGCCTATCTTTCTTTCTAATCATACTGGAAAATCTTCTATCTCTTCATTTTCAACTCTGGACTCCAATGATTCCCTTTAAAATCAATTATCATGGACAAAGGGAGCCAAGATGGTGGAGTAAAAGCAGTGACTTGCATGAGTTCTCCCCTAAACTCCTCCAAATACCTGTAAAAAATGGCTCTAAACAAATTCTAAAGCAGCAGAACCCACAAAAAGAAAGAGTGAAACAAATTTACAACCCAAGACAGCCTGGATGGTTGATCAGAAAGGTATATCGTTCCAGGCGGGGAGAGGAGTGCAGTTTGGCATGGGCTCGCAGGCAAAACAGGCCTCAGCGAACCTGGAGCAGCCCTCAGAGGATTGAATTGCAGGCAACTGTGGTGGTTTCCAGACTTCTCAACCCACAAATGCCAAAGACAACTTAGAAGGTCAGTGGGAAAAGTCTGTGACTACAGTAAAAGAGAAACAAGGTCCCAGCCCCAGTCCTTGAGCTCGGCCCTGGGGTGGTGGCTGCTTCCAGAGCTTCCAGTCCACGGACTGAGGGGGAATCGAGTGGCTGATCAGAGGGGGATTACAGGGATCTCTCTGCTGGTGCAGGATTCTCTTGCTTTGTCCGTGCTTGGATCTGGGTCACAGCTCTGGGTGGTGGTCCTGGGGCAAGGAGGAGTGCTGGCATGGTGGAGCTTGTAGTGGTGGTGGAGAGGAAATTCTCACAGTTCCAAGGCAGAAAATAAAGCTTGTGGTCACTCATAGATCAGAGCACAGGCCAGGAAAGGAGTAAATACCTCACTCCTTATCATACCATCTTGGAAGAACTGAAAATTTACAGGTCCTTAGAAGTATCTCTGAAAATAGCTACATAAAACCCCTGAAGCTTGGGACAGTACATTTTCCACACTGGAAGCAGACCCCTATCTTAACAAAGAGTTTAAGACTCAAGTAATTGACTGGGATCATGAAAAAAACAAAGGCACAAAAAAAGTCAAACCATAGAATCTTTCTTTGGTAACAAAGAAGATCAAAACATACAACCAGAAGAAGACAACAAAATCAAAGCTCCTACATCCAAAGCCCCCAAGAAAAATATGAATCAGTGCCAGGCCATGGAAGAGCTCAGAAAGGATTTTGAGAAGCAAGTAAGAGAAGTAGAGGAAAAACTGGGAAGAGAAATGAGAGTGATGCAAGAAAATCATGAAAAACAAGTCAACAGCTTGCTAAAGGAGACCCAAAAAAATACTGAAGAAAATAACACCTTAAAAAATAGCCTAACCCAAATGGCTAAAGAGGTCCAAAAAGCCAATGAGGAGAAGAATGCCCTAAAAAGCAAAATTGGCCAAATGGAAAAACAAGTCCAAAAGTTTACTGAAAAAAATACTTCCTTAAAAATTAGAGTGGAGCAATTGGAAGTTAGTGACTTTATGAGAAATCAAGATACTGTAAAACAAATCCAAAAGAATGAAAAAATAGAAAACAATGTGAAATATCTCATTAGAAAAACAACTGATCTGAAAAAAAAGAAAAGAAACTAAAAAAAAAAATCAATTATCATAAGCCAGTAAAGCATGTCATATTTGCCAAGTTGGTGCTGCTGTTTAGTTGAAAATATTAAAACTATTTTGGTGTGTGCTTGTTTTTCTCTTGAAGCAGTGATGCTCACTTAATAGAGGAAAGAGACCAGATCTGTGATTTCATTGGTATAGGGAGCTCCCAAATGAGAAAAAGCCAGCACATGTCATCACCTTCTCTGAAATTTATTGTCTTAGAGAGTTGCCTAAGAATACTTAAAGGTTAAGTGACTTGACCAGGGTAATACAATATGGGTCAGAGAAAGAAATTATTCTAACCCAGGTCTTTCTGGCTCTCAGGTTAGCTCTATATCCACTACACTTCTTTTACTTAATAGACTTTTAAAAACCCCTGAGAAAGGAAGCTGATATGAATACTGTGCTGTAAAAAATGATGAAAGAGATAATTTCAGAGAAACCTGAGAAGACTTCTTTGGAGGGATATAGAATGAAGTAAGCAGAACCAGGACAATAATTTCTCTAATAACAATATTGTAAAGACAAGCAACTCTGAAAGAACTAAGAATTCTGATCAGTGTAATGACTGACTACAATTTCAGAGGACCAGAGATGATACACGTTCCCCCACACCACCACCCCCAACAGAAAGGTGATAGACTCAGAGTACAGACTGAGACATAATTTTTGGATATGGCCGATGCAGGAATTTGTTTTGTTTGGCCATGCATATTTGTTATCGGGATTTTGATTTTTCATTCTTTAAAATGGCAAGGGGAGGAGGTGTCAAAGAGGTTTTTATGAACTGAAGAAATAAAATTAAATTAAAAAAAAGAAGAACCTGACAGATGCACTGTAGATACTCACAACTAAGTCTAACACTTTCCACCTGGAAAATTCTACCTTAAAAATATCAGTACTTCTTTCAATTTTCCCTCTTGATTGTTAGAGGCCCATCAACTGGGGAATGACTCATTAAATGGAAGTATTTTAATGTAATGAAATACTATGGTGCTGTAAAATAGGAGTGTCAAACACATAGCCCACAGCCCACAACACTGCCAAATACAACCCAGAACTAGATTAAAATGCAACTGGGAAATATTTCATTAAATAAATTAAAATAAAATAAAACAGATAATGTTAATATGTGGTTTTCTAAGTCAATAGGCAGTCCTCAGGGATCCTTATGTATGATCCCATTTCTCTTTGAATTTGACACCACCGTTATAAGAAATGATAAACAATACTGAGAAAAACATGAAACTTATATAAATGGATGTGAATTGAAGCAAGCAGAGACCAAAAAACAATAAACATAATGTCTATAACAACGTAAATGGAAAGAACCACAACAAAAGTCAGTACTGAATGTTGAGAAATTATAACGACCAAACTTTGCCCCAAAAAAGAGTCAGGAAAAGACATGTCCACTTGCTCCTTTGCAGAGCCGGGGGTCCACAAGTTTAAAACATTATCTATGACATCTGATTTTTTTTTATGTTAGTTAGTTTTGCTAAATTTTTTTCTCTTTTTTTCTTCTTATTTTTTGTTACAGGAAATGGCTCTCTGGGAAGAAAGAGGGAGAAGGAAGAATAAAGGGGGAAATGAAAGTAATTTTTAAAGTATCAATTAAAACCTATTTCTAAATAAAATAAATAAGCAGGAAAAACATGTTAGAGGCTTGTGTGAAAGCTGGCCCAAATAAATTCTATAAGACATCTCTTAATGGAAGCTGAAACTTAAATCATGTTCAGCCCTGGTTAGAAGTAAGGAGACAAGGGTAAATGTATAGTGGTCATGAGTCTTTATACAGATTCAGTCTCCATTCTTTGAAATGCTGCTATTAATTCACACTGTTCGTGTGAACTGGAACATATGTCTCCATGTTTTATGCCTTGGTTGATACTAAGAAGAAGACCATTTAACAAAGTTATCCTGGATCATAAGCAAAAAGCTGGCTACCAGGTGCTGAATATTCTCAGCCATAGCGTTTCAGAAAAGCTATTTCCTTAAGATTGAAATGGGTTGAGATTTTCATCCACTGAAAATATACATACTGAAAAAATTAAAATCCCTTAAAGTATTCAAATATAAGTATACCATGTTCAATCAATAATTACTGATAAATAATCGGAGTACTTAGAAGGATACCTCCGCAGGTCACTGAAGATGAGATGCCTAGAGAAGTTAAGGCAATATCACTTATTAGCAAACACCATTTTAGGGCCAAAAGGGGAACAAGTGTATGCTAGCTATTAAAGGATAACAGTGAGAGTTTAGTTCCATGCAAACAGTGCGGATTTTACTGACAGGATTAATGAAGTTTGAGGACAATGGGTACAAATACTCTACAGTATATTCCTAATGGTGTCTTATGCAAAACCAATGGAGTAAAAGACATCTTCAAGGATGTGCATGGCAATAAAAAGAGGAGGGCAGCTTGTGTGAGGCATAATGGAGAGCCCGAGTGTTAAAGCTTGAAATATTCAAAGAACCAGATGAAGGCCTCCCATTAGTATGGTTGGCCCTTAATGGAGGATATGGACAAGAATTACACAAAAGGATAAGGCACAGATGATTTGATCTGCACGATTGAAGGGAATGCCCAAATTTATAAAATCTTAAATCCAGAGGAATATCCAAGTAGCAACTCTTCTTACCTTGTTAATCTCTTCATCCTTTCTACTAGCAAAGCCTCAGTAGACTTGGCTAATGAGGGTTTGTTTTCCTCTTGTATACCAGCCTTTAAAATCAACATTTCCTTTCTGAGCTAAGAGCAATTAGTGGGCATGAAAGAAAACAAACAAATAAAAAACAATACACCCAGCATTTCTCTCACAGTTCTGATGGCTTTCACCATGTTGACATTGATCGCTTTTCTCTGTGTTTATTAAGCATGGTTGGTTTGTTCTTTTCTTTCCGACTTATTTCCAGCCTTGAATCATGGAGTGCCAGGTGCAGAATTGCGGCATCCCATCTCCATCCCAACTGCTGCTTACTCACTACAAGCCACAGCCACAGGCTCTTAGACCTAGACCAGAGATGCCCAGTCTGACAAGTTAACAAGAGTTTTTGTTTATTTGTTTGGTTTGGGGTTTTTGTTATCAAGCTATTCATCTGATTAAATGGTAACCCAATTCACAATAAAAGGAGTCCAAAGTGGCTTCTTGCTAGGTCTGGTCGATTACTAAGTTGAGTTCATACATCACAAAATGATGATAGATTTGCAACTTACCAAAGAGTTGTATCGGCGTAAATGGTATGGTTTGAGAAAGCCTCATTAAATTGTTCCTTTCAACAGCTGCCAAAAAGGAAAAGAAAGAAAGAAAATTTTACTCTATTTAGTATGCATCATCAGGTCAGTTTAATAGAAAGCTTTCTCCAAACCAATATTTATTCAAGTAATGTTAATGTTATATTTTATCTTTATCTAAAATCAGTACAATTATTATGAAAACAAATATCTTCATCCAAAAGGATATCACAGAATTAAGAACAAATTGTAAGAAATTATTTAACAAGATCTAAAGCAGGTATGATGTTTCTGCGCTACACAAACAGTAAATTCAACGCATACATGGCATATTGTTAGCACCTATTTCAATCAATGGTGTTACTACTCTGGTTTCCCTGTAGCCTTTTTTTTTTTTTTAAAGCAAATCTGATGTACTATATAGACTCTGAGGACATCTGCTGTTAGAGTCTGCACACTTCTCCTTCTTTTCCAGAGGGAACTAAAGACCGCAGTTTTAATTACAGACAGGCTATCTGCATTTTCCATGTTAAGTACCAAAGACTGTTATAGTCCATCAATGTCAAAACGAGCTATAGTATTCCTCTGCAAAGTTGTTTTTTAATTTTTTAGCTACAGACCAAGTGCTAGATTATTACTAGCCTTAACTAGCGTTAATAGTCTAAACTAAGAAACCAATATGTAAATGAACAGTGCCCTGAGATCGCCAAAATACTGTCAAATGGAGCTGGCAGTACCATGATTCTTTAAAGAGCAGGACTCAGTCTACCTCTTAGTCTTATACCATCCAATGGGATTTAGTGAATAAAAAAACAAAAGAGCCTCATTCTATGGCAATGAGCCCCTGAAGACAGTATTATACTGAAGTCCAAACATAGTTATAGGTTTATCACTCTGCTTTGACAAGTTGCTTTCCTAGAACAACAAAATCAAAACCAAACATTGTTAATTCTAATGACCAAGCTTGACCCCAAAGAAGAGATATGGAGATGTATCTCTGTCCCTTCTTTGCAAAACATTGTGTATAGTGTCAAATTGGGTTGATAGACTGGTTTTTTCTCTTTCTTTTTATTATGTTATTTTATATTATTTTACTATTTATCCATAAGATAAGGGTCTCTGTATGGGAAAGAAGGAAATGATGAGAAATGAAGATGATGCAAAACAAAAGACCAATAAAGGTAAAAAATAAAAACAAAAACAAGTTGCTTACCTCTTGTTCCCTAAGTAGACTATCACATGGGGAAGTAAAGTACAATTATGTGCATTTTGAACTTGAAACAACTGGGACATAGCAAGGCTAACTAAGGTAGAATTGTTATATAACTAATGAGTGAGAGGACCCATCTGGATTGGCCCAGAGGAAGATCTTGAGTAACTGGGGATGTATTTGACCAGGGCTAGTGCCTTGACAATGTCATGAACAGAGTAGAAATGCAAGATTAACTAATAAGGATCCAGGTGTCAAAATTCCTGGTGTTCCTAGGAGCATAACCAACAGAGAGACTATTTAAGGGAGTCAGAGAAAAACTTAAGCTAAAGTATTCAGGCTCAATCCCAGCCTAAGAGTGAAGTCACAGGCCAACCAAGGAAGATAAACAGATTAAGATGAAAGGGTAAAGTGACACAAATTATCAATGAGCTGACAGAGCTGCCCTTTCCCCCTTTCAGTCACAATCGTAGCCAGATCTCCCTGCTCTTCTTGCCTCCAAGGCCAGCCCTCCATCCACTATGCCACGCTTCCTCTTTACCTTACACATACATAGTAGGTGATTAAAAAAAGCTTATTACATCTAATTGAATTGAATGCCAGACCTGATCAGTCAACTTACCTAGCTGGTTAAGATAAGAACCAGGTTTAGCACAATCATGTGGTTCTGTTTGAGTTTGGAAGATTTTTTTGGGAGGAGTGCTGATTGCCATGGATAAGGAATACCTCCACAATTCTTCCATATTTGTCCAGTATAAAAGATCTCACAAAATTGTTGGTACTGAATAGAATATGCTCCTCAGTCTCCAATGGGCATGTACAACTGGTGGTAATCTGCTTGCAATAGAGAGTGAAAGGTCCCCGTTCTATGTGGAGAGCAGTATCTGAATTGTGCCCAATTAATGAATACCCTCACCTCCCCCAGAACTATTGGATATAGTAGAAACAGATAATATAAAAAGTAAGGCACTCATAGTGCTTTCTTAGCCAAACCTGCAGGTGTCAGATCTCACTAGCCATTGGTTTCACACTTAGTGGACAGACATCTATGGCACCTGCTACTAACACTACTGCTGCCCCAGAGGTACTTGCTTTCGCTAGGCCTCTAGCCAGGGGTGGGGAACCTGTAGCCTCAAGGCCACATGTGGCCTTCTAGGTCCTCGGGTGCAGCCTTTTGACTTGAGTCCAAGTTTTAGAGAACAAATCCTTTTACTAAGGGGATTTGTTCTGTGAGGTTTGAATTCAGTCAAAGAGCTGCACTTGAGGACCTCGAGGGCCACATGTGGTCTCAAGGCCACAGGTTCCCCACTCATGTGTCTAGCCCAAGAATTTCCCAGGACCCTATAATTATAATCTCCTATCTTGGTGCCTTTGCATTGGTGGTGCCTGGATTGTACTCCCTCTTCACCTCTCCTTCACAGAATCCCCCTCTTCCTTTAAGACACGGTTCACGTGCCACCTTCTACATGAGACCTTTCCTTATCTCCTCAACTCCTAGTGCCTTCCCTTCTCAAACTACCTGGGATTTAACTCCTTTGTATTTATTTTCTTTATATTTATCCTGTGTACACATATGTGTGCTTGTTTCCTCCATTAGTATGTACATATACTCCTTTCAAATAGATAGTTTCATTAGCTGTATCACCGGGTGCCTAGTACAGTGCCTGACACATAGTAGACACTTAAATACTTGTTGATTGATTGATTGATTGATTGATTGAGTCAAACAGAGGAGGGAGAGAGTCAAGGTAATGCAAGAGAATATTAAGTACCAATATGGAAGAAGAATAGTAGAACCTAGATTATTCTAGATACACTGCTGTTTGAGAGTAGAGTAGGGTCTAAGTCCTTTCTATCTAAGCCAATGCTTCCCTAGGAAAATCAAATAAGCCTTCTACATGCTAAGCTATGAGTGTAAGTAGATTCTCATATAATTCTAAATCCTGGACTTGTGAATTCACTGAACATTAGAATTGAAAAGGTCTGCATTAGCCATCTACTCCAATCTATACTATACCTCAACCCCACAAAAAAAAGATAGATATAGATTATATATAGATATATTCCCATTACAATATATCCAGCCTTTGGTCATTCAGCCTTTTCTTGAAGAAGGAGACCCATGACCTCAGTAGATAGCCTATTCCACTCTGGGATAGCTTTAATTATTAAGAAATTTTCCCCTACATTGAACCTAAATTTGCATCTTTGCAACTTCACCCAATGTAATGGTTCTGCTCTGAGAAGATTTATGGTCCAATAGAGATACTTACTTATCCTAGATATGGTGGATCTGGTGGGTTTAGTCTGTGTTAAATAAATATGACTTAGAAAACATGTAGGAATGCCTTGGATTGGTCAAACATTGAGAAATCCGCATGGTTTTAGAGTTCAGACAACTAACCCAGCCTTATTTGCCACAAGACCAAAAAAGGCACTGTGGTTTAGTTTGCCTGCACTTCTATGGGTGGGTTTCTGGAAACAATTCCACTTGAGCCACGATGTCTAGTGGATTTCTTGAGAGCCCAGAGCCCTCTGTTAAGAGAGAGAGTGGGTGTTCACAGCTGTTTCTGAGGCCAGTCAATTCCCTTCTATAGAGTGGAGGACTGCCCCCAGAGAAAGACACTGTTCCCTGAGGTCCAACCCAGCTGTTGTTGCAGCCCACTGTCTGTAATCCTGACAGCTGCTGCTACAGGGCCAACCATTCCCTTGCTAAATATTTCCACTTCAGTGTCCCACCAGTTCCTCAAGTTCATCACGTTTAAAACTGAAATCATCATCAAATTTGTAAATCCTTTTTTCTCCCCTAACTTTTCTGTGAGAATATCACTGTCCTGCCAGCTAAACTGAACTAGTCTTCATCTTTGGTTCTCAAACATCCCTCTCCCAATTTCATACTTTTGTTCACTCTTTTCTCCATCTCTAGAACAAATTTCCCCAATCAATGTCCTCCTATTGAAGTCCCTTCCTTCCTTCAAGGCTGGCTTAGGTGCCACTTCCTCCATGAAGCTTTCTCTGAGTGACCCTCCAAGAGAAAATGACCTTTCCCTCTCTAAAGTATTTAACTTAACCTGCCACGTATCATTGTGTTTACTGAGAGCCCCTAGAGACAACAGGAGTCCTTGGTATAGTGCCAGAGATAGAATCAGAAAGCATGGGTTTGAATCTTGGCCCTGATACTAACTGCTCAACTGCTAGCAAATCTCTTAGCATCTCTGAGCCTTGATTTCTTCCAACTACAAAATGGGGGTAATAATCTTTTACTACCTATCTTGTTGAAAGGCCCTGTCACATAATAGGTAGCTGATCTCAGAGCTAGGAAGATCTGGGTTCAAGTCCCACTCTGATACATACTATATGACCCTGGGCAACTTAAACTCTCACTTAAATTTTCATTTAATTTCTCAGTGTTCCAGGCAACTCTTTAAGACCATACATTGAGGAAAAGGTATCTACCTACACTATTAGAGGGAGTTTCCTTATCTGGAAGTTTCCTATATCAATGAAATCATAGATCCAGCCCAAGTCACTAGCCCACTGTCTATCTCACAGGGTTCTTGTGAGGAAGGTGCTTTGCAAATCTTAAAACACTGTAAATGTGAGTTACATTTACTAAGAGCAAGATTTGTGGCATGGCTACCTTTACATGCCCAGCATTTAGCACAGTAGTTTGCATTTAGTAGGCCCTTTTAAAGTTTTTGTTGAACAGATACTAAGAGAATTAAAGTGAATTGATGTTAATAGAATTGATCTTACTGCCAGGTCATTCATGATTTAGTGATAAAGAGTGGGAAGAAGGCACTATGAAAGGTTGGGTACAGGGCCTGCCTAGAGGTGAATCCATCGACCATGATAAATTCAGTGAGTTCCTTAGTAAGAGGAAGAAGTTTACCAATGTAAATATAGAGGCATGGATCAAAGCCGCCAGAGATAACAATAGAAAGATAGAAAGAACGGAATCAATGGGCAAGAAGCAGTATTAGTTTGGCAGTATTGGGCAGCATTCCTCATTGATCTCTTAGCTGTCAAGACTACCCTTTTCAGCTGCCCATTGAAGTGCTAGCCAGGAGCTTCATTCAGCTCCTTCTGCAGACAGAAGCAGACATCCTTGTTTAGCCTATTCTCCAAGTTGTTACTCCATGCATCATGGAGTACCTACTAGGTGCATAACAGTTGCTTCCTAAGAAACTAATTAATGTTCTTCTGAATACCCCCAATGATGATAACATCATACACTTAGTTCTTAGGTTGTCTTCGGTTATGCAATGGATTCAATTTCAAAATCATCTTTCTTTTTCATCTTTTGGACAAATATATTTGTAGAAGTAGCCAAAACCTAAAGGAAACTGGATAAAGATGCCTTATTCTGTAGCAAAAAAAAAAACCCTTTCATTCGAATGAACACAAATAGAAGCTGAGAACTATACTAGTCAAATGGAAATCACCAATGGGTAAGTTTCAGATGCCAAACCACAAAGTTTTAGCTCACATGACATTGCAGCTAGGCATCACAGTGGATACAAAACTTGACTCAAGAGTCAGGAAGACAAGTTCAAATCCTACTTCAAGCTATCTGTATGATCCTGGACACATCACCTGACCTTTCTTAACCTCTGTTTTGTTGTCTACAAGATAGGAATAGTATGATTATGCCTACCTTATAAAGTTGCTGCAAGGATCCAATGAGAAAACATATATGAAGTACTCTGCAAACCTTAAAGCACTGTAATAAATTTAGCTATTTTACAAAGACTCTCCTCACCTGAATAATGATGGTGCAGATCTTGAGTAGTTTTTAAAGAGGCCGACATTTCTGAAATTAGAGAAGATTGGCATTTTAATTACTTGGCTACTGATAAATAAATTCATGCTTAGAAATATATCATTTTCAAAGTTATTATTGAACAGGATCATCAGAATGGCTTCTCAGTATTTGGAAAAGATTGTTAATATCCTTTAAACACATTATTGTGTATGCTACCCTGACAGCTTCCAATCATCAATGTAATATTTCCAAACATATTTATATGGGGAATTGAAGAAAGACAAGTAATATTAGCCTGAGAGATGTATTTTCTCTGAGCCAATTACAGCCCTGGGTTGTAAAAGGCACTCAGATGCCCATCACACTTCACAACACTCCCAAAGCCCCATTCTCCCAGCTCCCTACAAAGGAGTGATACTCTCATAACTACATTATTACCAGCAAGTTATAGGCAGACTACTTCACTGACCTAGAATACCAAAGCAAAATACGCACCTACAGGGGCAAACATTAAGATGGGGACAGAGAGCAGGGTAAAAGAACATAAGAAAATGTGCTTGGTTACATTAAGCACAGGGAACAGTGTTATCAGAGTACCTTCTAGTGTAACTGAGCAACTTCCAACTGCTTAAGTCCAAAGGTAGGAGGCTATTGAGGCATTACATAGACTAAGACAAAAGTACTGATAACCTACTAGTTGTGTGACTGCAGGGAAGGTTATTTAACCTTCTGTACCTTAGGCTTCATCATCTTTAAAATGGTGACAATTCTTGCACTATCAAATTTCTTTCAGGGAAAGTGCTTTATAAACCTTAAAGTACTACATAAAGGGGCAGCTAGGTGGCTCAGTGGATACAGGGTTGGGTCTGGAGTCAGAAAGAACTGAGTTCAAATCTGGTCTCAGATACTTAGTAGCTGTGTGACCCTGGGCAAGTCACTTTACCCTGTTTGCTCAGTTTCCTCATCTTGAGCTGGAGGCAATGGCAACTATTCCATCATCTTTGCCAAGAAAACCCCAAATGGGTCATGAACAGTTGGACACAGAAGAAACAACTGAACAACAACACTACATAAAAGTCAACTGTTACAATGATCTTTCTCATCTTTTTTGATGATTATTTTTGATGATGATTATTGTTATGATTATTTTTATTTCTATTGCTACTACCTCCTAGAGTTATTATGAGGAAAGTACTACACAAAAATCATTTTAGGAGTAGACTTACTTTGCTGATTCATAAAAGTAAAATGGACTCAGGGAACTTATTTTTAGTAACTCATTTATATAATGTGTAACTGGAGTACTTAACCTGGGATCAGTGAACTTTTTAAATAATTTTTAATAATTATAATTTTATAATTTTAAAAAATGTTGATAATTGTATTTCAATATAATTGGTTTCCTTAGTAACTCTGTATGGTGTATTTTATGCATTTAAAAACATAATTTTGAGATGGGAGTCATAGGCTTGATAAAAATACAAGACAGAGGGGCAGCTAGGTGGCACAGTGGATAGAACACTGGCCCTGAAGTCAAGAGGACCTGAGTTCAAATCCAGCCTCAGACCAAAACACTTGACACGTACTAACTGTGTGACCTTGGGCAAGTCACTTAACCCCAACTGCCTCACTAAAAAAAAAAACCAAGATAGAAAAAAGGCTAAGAAGCAGCCCTTTTGTAGAACTTTCAGGATAACATCACTTTCCTCACTACAATTCTTTGATACAGGTAATGTTTGTATTATTACTCCTGATTTACAAATGAGGAAACTAAGTCTCAGAAAAGTGACCCAGACTGGAATATCTCAAGCCAGGAATTGACTCCAGTTTCTTTTGACTCCAATGAGGACCAAAATTCTTTCCCCTACACCAGACCTGCACAACTTGGCAGTAGGTAGGGGCCAAAATTAAAATTGGCTAAACTTCTTCATGCCGCAGGCAGTCTAGTCACTGGACAGACACGGTTTGTTGCTGCAGGTCACGTGACAAACAAGAGCGCCTGTGTGGTGGCAACCCACCCACCAAGTTACATGAGCACAATAGTGACTAGTGGAAGGGGGTTAAGCGGGGCACAGACAAACCATGCATTACATCTTCACTTTCTTTTACATCCTCCACATTTTTCTCAGGCCACCCACAAGCGGCCATATGTTATACAGGCCTGACCTACATCTTGCTACCTTTCACCATCACACTAACAGTTCACAGACAAAAAACCAATAACGCAATGTGCCTAATTCCAAGAAAATCTTAGGCTCTCAGTTACTCAGTAAAAAGAAGCAATATCACCTTTTTTTCTGGCCTTCCCTGAAAGGGAAGTGGCATCATGATCCTTCTTTCCTCGGTTACCTCTACTAGGAATGACAGATGCTTTGGAGAGTTTGGAGAGGGAAGAGTGATAGTGCTGATATGAGACAGTGAGAGGGAAAACTCTAGACAACATGGGCTTCCTGGTTTGCCATCCAGACCATATGTAAAGAATGGCTAGAACAGGACACTGAAGAATATTTGTAAAATTGGTTAAATGAGCATTGTGATTCTGTCTACACACATAAAGTTAAGAAAAGAACTGAGGTAATATCCAGATACTGAACTCCACCTCAGTACCCCAAAATATAATTTTTTTCACTATTTGGATGGCTACTGGGGATCATTAAAATAAAAATAATTTTCAAAAATTTTAAGACTTACTGTCAATTTCTTCTAAACTGTTCGACCTGTTTTAAAACGAAATAATTTAGATAATGCTTTAACACTTTCATTAATCAAAAATAGTAACAAACATGTCAAATAGTCACAACAGAAGCTATGCATTCAAGATTCAGCTACAACTCATAAAATACAGTGTCTAAACTTTTTAAAGGCAAGGTACCACTTGAAAGTGTGAAAGAACTTTAAATGCATAAATGACATACAGCCTCAAAGTCCCTTTCCTGGATTAAAGCCACCACAGATAAACTGTGGCCCTAAGGAATACCCCACCCCCCCCCCAAAAAAAAGTCTTGTATTTCATCAAGGACTTAAGAAAATTAAGTTCTAGCCATGAAATCACTGGCCAACAACAGAAAGATATTTTAAAAAACAGAATCAGTAAGTAAGAATTACTGAAAAATAAAATGTTCATTACAATTACATATTGTCAATTACTATATTTCTTTAAGCAGCTAAGTAGCACCATAGTGCACAGAACACTGGACCTGGAGTCTGGAAGACTTGAGTTCAAATCCAGCCTCAGACAAGTACTAGCTGTGTGACCCTGGGCAAGTCACTTAACCTCTGTTTGCTTCAGTTTCCTCATCTGTAAAATGCGAATAATAATAGCACCGACATCCCAGGATTATTATGAAGATCAAATAATATTTACAATGTGTTTAGTACAGTGCCTCAAACATAGTAAACACTGTGCAAATGTTAGCTGTAGCTATTATTACTTAACCTCAGTTAAGTGTCTGTCTCAGTTTTCTCAATTGTAAAATGTGGGCAATAACAGCCCTACCTCCCAGAGTTGTTGTGAGGATCAAATAAGAAAATAATTGTAAAGCACTTTACAAACCTTAAAGTGCTATAGAAATGCTATTATTATTATTATTATTATTATTATTATGGTAATTATATTCATCTTTTACCTCTGTCTCTATTCCTCATCATCTATGGATCATGTATAACATATTTCTGTATCCAAGTTGCTTTAGAACAAATAAAGCAAAGAGTTTCTTTCTAGGACATAAAAGCCAGTTATTCATTCTACAAGTAACACACTTTTTTTCTGGACAAGTAGTTAGTTTGTGTGTGTGTGTGTGTGTGAGACAATTGGGGTTAAGTGACTTGCCCAGGGTCACACAACTAGTAAGTTTCAAGTGTCTGAGGATGGATTTGAACTCAGGTCCTCCTGACTCCACGACCAGAGCTCTATCCACTGCACCACCTTGCTGCTCCCCAGTAGTTAATTTTTATAGTTTTAGGGCGTTTTTTTTTTAAATTTAGTGCAATGCCACTTGTGATTCTATTTATGTACACATACAAATTCACACCCTCACAACAAAAAATAAGAGTAACTCATGTATATAGCAATTTAAGGTTTGCATGTTAATTTCCTCACAATAAGCCTATGAGTAAGGTAGTATGGGTATTATAATTCAAGTACTATCATAGATTGGTTGCATAGTGGTTAGGGAATTGGACTTGAAGTCAGAAAGACCTGAGTTTGAATCCTGACTCAGGCACTCATTAGCTGTGTGACTGTGGGCAAGTGATTTAACTTCTCTCAGCCTCAGTTTCCCTACCTATAAAATGGAGCTAAATAATGTTGTAAGGATCAAAGGAGATAACATGTATACTTTACAAATCTTAGAGTGACACATGTATGTACATTTATATTACCTGTTATTATTATTCCCATTCACAGATGAGGAAACTGAGACTGAAGACAGTCACACTTTCTTTTTATGTTTAGAAGCAATTCTGTAAATAGACTTTACTTTGGAGGAGATTTAAGAATCAACACATGTAACTAAAAACTTAATTCACTTGGTGAAAATCAGTGTTTTATGGAGATACTGGTGCTGAAGGTTAATCTCTATTGCAGAGTGACCAATTCATTTCATAGCACTTTTAACTGGTGACATCCAGAAAACACAAACAATTAAATAAAATATTCTTTGCACTTCAGTTCCTGGTTTATTCTCTTGGATAACAAAAATTCCAGAAAGCACTAAAATCCCTAAGTTTCATACTTTTATCATCAGAGCTGTTGCTAAGACAGAGAATTAGAGTGTTACTGAGAAGCCTGAGTAAGAAGAAAAAGATTCTCTTAGAAACTGAAGGACAAAAAAAAAAATGAAAATAAATAGACACATAAGCGTAATAAGTCTCAGCCTACTTTAGTCTCTTTTTTGATTTTAAAAGGTGCCAAAGAGCTATTTCTACTATATGATTCATATTCAATGGATTCCAAATTGGTGGATTAACTGTCTCCATAAGAAACTACATCAGTGATTTTTTTCTTGGTTTTAAGAGACTCTTTCAGCTCCAAGAAGGTGGCTATAAGAACAGAAAGAAGAGAAGTTCTCAGAACAATACTTACTGGCTGTTATGTTAAAAGTTAAAGGACCTTAGAAATCATCTAGTACAATCTACCTCATTTTGCTAATGAAGAAACTGAAACCCAAAAAGATAAATCAACTTGCCCAAAATCACACAAGTTCCAAGCTGGGATTTGAACCCAAGTCCAAATCCAGCCATATCACACGATCAAAAGGGGGCAGAATAATGTAAAAATGTAATGTAAAAAATATAAAAATTGTGTATTAATCAATAATTACTACCCTTCTGATACTAAAAGGAAAATGTGGCCCTTTGCCCATATCAATCATTTTTCTGAAAATAAAACCTTTGCCTAGAAACCTGCAAAATCCAGCTAGAAGGCAAAAACACCCCAAAACAGTGAAAACTTGACTCCAAAACACTCACAGTGAGTTCCTGTTCTGACTGGTCTTCCTAGTGATCCAGAGAGCATTTCTGCTAAAATTCTAAAAAAAAAAAGAGATGTCATTATGGATATGCAACTCATTTGATAACCCTTTGCTTTCACAAAAACATTATCAAAGCATAATCCATGATAAGCAACTGGGAGTTCCTTAAAAGCAGTGAATTCACAGGTCCAGCCCCAAATCCCATGTGAAAAGCATTGTACTATGTATTGGGATAGAAAGAAAAGCAAGAAAATCCCTACTCTAAAGAAGATTACTTTCTAATAGAGGAGAATAGCAGACAAGAGGATCAACTCTAAGTCACATGGAAAGGCCCACCAGTCCTTAGGGTATAGTAGCAAGGTAGAAGGCAATGCATCTTCTTTAATGTCACTTTCACTAATGAAGCCACATCCATTTCTGGTGTTGAACCATTGGATCATGCCCAGTCCTTCAGCAACAGAAACTTTCTTTTCTGGGTCATCAGTAGCTAAGATCATTGAGGAGACATGGGCTGGAGGACTTGTAGAAATAGTTGCCAGGTCATGCCCCCTAAGAGCTGCTTCCTTGGATGATGGCTTCCTGGCCTGGGTTGGAAGCTAGGCCAGCAGTCTGGAAGGCACTGTCATACTCCAAACTCTTGGACTTGCCTGCTCATCAGTGCCATAGGTCAGCATGTCATGGCAAGGATGACAGGCTTCTTCTCCATAGGAGAAGTCTTCATCTTCTCCATAGCTCTTCAGGAAGGTGACTGTTGGGGCCAGGCTGGTGGTCTGAAGGAGCTCACTACTCCAAGGGCTTCTGGATTGAGGGTACTGGGCTGATGCCTTTGGGGCATGAGTGGAAGTAGTTTGGGTCATTTTTTTTAAACTTTCCTGTTCCATGCTATCTCTCCCTCTTGTCTTCCCTCAGAGTGCCTTGTTGCTTCAGCTAGCCTGGCTTGTTGGTCTCATCTGTAACAACTGGTCAGCAATTGGTTAAATGGCTGGTCTCTTCTCCAAAGAATTTGATCCCCTGGATTTTGATGTGTGGACCAGGCTGGATGGAGGGCCAGTGGATTTAGGCTTGGTGTTAGACCAGGTAAGACTGCCAATATGATAAGTGACAAAGTATTTAAAGACAAGATTTTCTCATGGCTTCCTAATGGGATTCAGACTGTTCCCTCACCAAAAAGGAAAAGAAACAGAACAAATATAATGAACTGAGAGAAAAGAGAAAGGTGGAGAGATAAGAGGCCTCAATGAAAATAAAAACATTTCCTCTGTATACTACACCTTTTTGTGACCAAATCTTGTCTCTCCCACTGGACTGTAAGCTCCTCATCTTTTCATTTCCTCATGGCCTGGCACAGTGCCTCATACAGAATACATACTCAGTAAGTATTTGTTGAATAGAATTGGATGAAGGAAAGAAGGCCAAAGGTAAGCATGTGGAGAAGTAAAAAGAACAACAAGCAAAGAATGAGATGAGTTTGGAAAAAAACAACAACAATAGTTAATTAAGAGTACCAAAATAAAGAAAAAAGAAAATAAATTTAAAGTAGAAGATGAGGGAGAATAAATGAGAAGACAGAAAGTTGAAATTAATGAGATCAACAAGTTAGAAATGTTATCTTTATATGTCACCTGTCAAATAAAATTTCTTACCTCGTGGGGTTGCTTCAGATAGTCAGTGGTGCATATGGTATGTCTGGCAGTTTTCTGAGTTTTCATTTTCTGGTATATATGTGGTTCTAAATGTAATTTAAAAGAAAATTAAGCCCATATTAATTCTTTTCATTTAAACAATTTATTTTTTTCCCAAAAGAGAATTAAAAGTGTTTGTATGCTTTGGGATCAGAAGCAAGAAGCTAAAAAGAAAAAAAATCTCAGAACAGTATATTTACTTAACAGTGCTAGGAGAAATTTAGGTTAAAAATACAGTTCTCAGTCCTCCCCACTAAAAAATAAAAAGTGCTAAGGAATAAAGTCCACACTTATCAAATAAAAACTGGTTTTATTTAATTTTTTAGCTTCAGAGTCTAGGCATTTATAAGCTCTATGCCAAAGCATAATGTAGCACACTTATTATGTTGCATAATTATTGCAGACATTGGGAGACTATGAAGAAATTATTGAAGGCCTACCCTCCCCTCCCAAAAAAGCTTTTAAATTTTACATTAAATGGACATGTTTATTTGGAAGTGAAGGTTAAGAAAAAACAAAACATATCAAAAAATTTTAAAATAAAATGATAGATGATAATAGTCTGAAAACATCACTCATTAATAGTCATTAGCAAAACACTAGAGGTGACTGGGGCTTTTTTTTCTAATGAGTCTATTCTGAGCAGAAGAGGTGACTAGGAAATTCAAAAGGCCCATTTTCCCTCCAATGACATAGGAGGAATTGTTAATAGACATAATTCTTATGAGTTATTCTGAATCAGAAAAAGTGCCTACTGGGAGAGTCAGAAACATGAGTCTTACTTTCCTAAGTGATTTCTGCAGAAATCGACTGATGGCATTTAAACAATGCCTTCAGAAAATATTTTTTTGTTAGCCCTTCTCTTTTTCCTAAATATTCCAGAATTAGATTCTCTGATTTGACTGACACTACTAAACAACCATCTGACATCACTTTTACCATTCTAGCTTTGTTTCATACAATTCTCATTCTTTAGGCCTACCTCAAATGACATCTTCTCCAAGAAGTCTCCCCTGAGCCCCTGAGTTAATTATGACCTTTCCCTCCGAAACCTTCCTCTGCCTAAAATGTCACTTTTTTTCCAACATTTATCATATATACTATTATAATTATTTCTATTTATGGTATATGCCTCACTAGACTATACTCTCCATGAAGGCACAAACCATTTCTTAATTATATTGTATATCTTCTTCAGTGACAATTCACTGCTCTGGACCTGGGAAGTATCAGATAAATGTTTACTGAATTAATTGAATGATACTTAAGCTCCTACTTTGGAGCATCTTGAGGTAACTACTTATCTTTATTCTACTAGATTTCTGTCACCTTCTGACATTGGCTTTAATTAGATCCTCCTAGCATCCTTCTCATCTATGGTAAATATGGTGGTAAATCACTTATTCCTTAAATGGTTGGACATTCCGCCTATACAATCACAATTGCTCCAAGCCTTGGCAGATAATTCTAGAAGTTAGTATGAACATAAAAATCCACCACCTAATGACCAAATGAGGTATCTAATAATGCATACAATCAAAGGGTCATAGATTTAGAGACAGAAGGACCTTGGAAGCCATCTAGTTCAACCCCATTTACAGTTGAGAAAACTGAGGCCCAGAGACATTATAAGACTTTCTCCGGGTAATTGGGAGAGTCAAGTGCCAGAAGCACTGAACTGAAGTCCCCCTGCTTCAAATCTGTTACTCTTTCCATCATACCATGCTTCCTCCCCAAGTTGGCATTGACTACTATTTGGGTCTTGACATTCAGCCATTTCCAAATCCACATAACTACACTATTATATTGTTTTTATCTATCTATCTAGTTCACAATAGACACACACACAATAGCACAACAGACCTTATCAAGTGCTTCACTTTTTTGTCATTCATTTGTGTCTGACTCTCCATGACCCCATTTGGGGTTTTCTTGGCAAAGATACTGGAGTATAGTTTTCTTCTCCAACTCATTTTACAGATGCGGAAACTGAGGCAAACAGGGTTAAGTGACTCGTCCAGGCTAGTAATTGTCTGAGGCTGGATTTGAACTCAAGAAGTGAGTCTTCCTGACTGCGGGACTGTCGCTCTGCACACTATGGTGCCACCCAGCTGCCCCTTACGAACATCTAGGTGAGGAAATAGTTCTCTCAAGCATTCCCCTCATTTACCTCTCGAGGCAATTAGGTGACATGTTGGCTGGAGCATAGGATTGGGACTTAGGTAGTACTATTTCAGACATTTACCAGCTATGCGACCCTGAGCAAGTCACTTAACCTCTTCACCTTAGTTTCTTTATCTGCAAAACAGGGATATTAACAGCACTTACTTTACGGGGTTATTGTGAAGCTCAAATGAGATAACATATATAAAGTGCTTTATAAACCTAGAAGTGCTATATAAACACTAGCTACTATTACTGGTTTAGTAACTATATCCAAAAAAAAGGAATTAGGTTAGTCTGAGACGACCTGTTCTAATGAAGCTATGTATGAAAAAGCACTAATTCTAGATTCAGAGGGACCGGGTTCAAATCCTACTTTGGAAGGAAGTGTGCCTTAAATATCCTGCTTATGATTATTTTATATTCATGATCCTTTGCTCCAAAAAGTGGCTTGCTACTACCTAGTGCATCTGGAATAACAATAATGACATCTTATGATTCTATTATACTTAAGTTTACAAAGCACTATACACACGTTGGGGCAGCAGTGGATAGAATGCTAGGCCTAGAGTCAGGAAGAGCTGAGTTCAAATACCTCCTCAGACACTTACTAGTTATGTGACCCTGGACAAGTCACTTAACCTCTGTTTGTCTTAATCCACTGGAGAAGGAAATGTCAAATCACTCCAGTATCTGCCAAAAAAATGCCATGGGCAGAACGGTCCACGGGGTCATGAAGTGTCACAAAGTCAGCCATAACTGAATAATAACAACACACATACTTAAATGCGTGATTTCTCAATTGACTGGGCAGCAGCAACATTATACTCATAATTTCATTTGCTCCTCTCAACCACTCAGTGAGCTAAATCAAGCAAGCTTTATAAAGCCCTTGGTCAGACTTTCAATCCTCTTAATCTGGCCCCACCCCACTTACCTAATCTTATTTCCCACTACTCAACAATACACCCCCTTTGCTTCAGACAGAACTAATTCTCTCCAATAGTTCATTGTTCACTGGCCCATGATCTAAAGGCTCCATTCTCTTTCTTTTTTTCTTTTTAATGAAAATTGAGAGAATTACCTTTCCCAAATCCCTCAAATACCTGCCCAGTAATTATATTAACTTGTGGTTAAAATATCTAAAACCCATACTGGACACCAACTTCTTAATTAGCTGT